AGGGGCTGCGTGGGACTTGGGCTCACTGAGGGATAAATGAAGAGGGGAAAGCAGCTAGGAGTGAGAGGCTGGAGGGGACATGGGGGCGGGCGGACGGATTTGGGGTGACCTTGAGGGTTGTAAGGGCTGGGGAGGAAGATCCGAGGCCAGGGGTGGTGCAGGGAGTATGTGGGCCTGGGAAAAGGGTGTGGGATTTGGGGTCACTCTGAAGGATAAATAAAGCAGAGGGAAGGGGAAACAGCCAGGAGTGAGGGGCTAGAGAAGGTTTGGGGGCTGCAGGAGCCGGTAAATGGGATTTGGGGTGACCGTGAGGGATGTAGGGACTGGGGAAAGGGAGGGAGCGCTGAGGTGAGGGAATGGGGAGATTGAGGGAGTGTGTGTGCCTGGGGAAAGGGAGGTGTGGGGCTTGAGGTCACTGAGGGATGAATGAAGTGGGCACGGGAAGAGAGGGAGCCCCGAGTTCGGGGGGGCTGTTGCGGGCGAAGGGAGCTCTCTGTGTGATTGGGATGGGAGTCAAGGGGTGGGAGCCCTGAAGTGAGGGATTTGTTGGCACGGGGAGATAATTGAAAGGGGCTGGGAAAAGGGCATCGTTTGGAGGTGGAGGGGATCTGAGGTGACTCCCTGAGGGATTTGGGTGGCGGGTGGGGAAGGTGCCCTGAGGAAAGGGGGGCCTGGCAGGGGCCGTGGGAGGTGTGGGTGCTGCAGAGACCTTGGCAGGGGTGAAGCAGGGAGAGAGGAGTGTCTGGGGGGGCTGGGGAAAGCGGGGCTCTGCCTGAGGCCCCCGGGGAGCTGGGAGAGGTGGGGATAATTCCTCTCTCCTCCTGCTGCAGGTGTTCACCGGCAGGTCCTGTTCGCTACCGTGGGCTGCTTTGTGGGCTACCAGCTTGTGAAACGCGCCGAGTACGTGCATGCCAAGGTGGACAGAGAGCTGTTCGAGTATATCAGGCACCACCCAGTGGACTTCCAAGCAAAAACAGGTACACTCAGCTGGTATTTTAAGAGAGACCTCAGCCTGCCATAACCCGTGTGTAACGATGTTGCTGGGTTAATGCTTTCCTGCTCCTTCACAATCTGAATTGCAGCACTCTAAAGGATTTTCTGATGTGAAAATAGATATTGTTACTGAGCTGTTGATGCACATTGATGACCACTTCTTCCTCCTAAAAGCTCATTTTAGTATAAAAGCATCACAGCCAAAAAAAAAAAAAAAGATAGGCCAAACGTACCACAGAAGAAGAAATAATTGAAATTAGAAATCACAGGTTTTTTTCTTGTAACTTCACAATTGTAATGTCTATTCCTGTAAAGTGCCTGTTGCATATAGATTCAGAAATCTTATGAATATTCAGAAAACAAGCAGAACAGGTGAAAAAAGGAATAAATAGGAAGAACCGGAAACCTGAAATGGCATTGTCTTAGAGCAATGATGAAGAACAGGACTTTTTTTACTAAATGCAGTCACTGAGCCCAGTGATGCAATAGCAAATTTGGGTGAAAATTGTCCATTTTTTAATACAATACAGTTGTGTGACTCTGTCTGTTGGATTGTGGTCTGCATCATGCCACATCGGAAGGAATATGTAGAAATAAGAAACTGTTACTACTGAGATTCCTCCACAGGGACCTGTGGAGAGCCATATGAAAAAAAAAAAAGTTGTGCTTTTAGTTACAAGAGCAAGCTAATGGTTTGCTGTGGGTAGCAAAAATCAGATTTTTGGTGGTTTTGTTAACAATAAAGATTTAATATGAAACACCTTCCAAATCGATCTCAGATGCTGATTAGGTTTTCCCACCTCTTACAGAAAAGAAAAGAATAGGGGAGCTCTTGGAGGATTTCCACCCAGTTCGCTGAGGATTTCTCCAGTGGCGACACATCACAGGATGAATTCCTGCCATCCTGAGAACTTTGGCAAGGTGGCTGACTCTGTTGAACCGTCCATGGCTTAAAAGATGAAATTTTACTCCTTTTCATGTAATAAAAGCTTGATTAAATAGTTAGTGTTTAATTGTTTGCTCTTCTGTTCCTTTATAGTTTGTCAATACGTGGATGACTGATATTTCTAACAGAATAGGAACATGGATTAATGTTTTCTTCAGTTGTTTTAATTGCAAGACTGGAAAGTTGTTCATACAAACATATATTGTATAAAACTCAAAGATGAGTTCTACAAGTTCATCTTTATTATTTCTCAATGGCATTTCTCCTGACCCTTGAACATGTTCTTGGCCAGCCCCTGTAGATGCTGTACCTAAAGTCTTGCTGTGAAATTCATTCTGAACAGCTACCAAAATACATGCTCTTCCTAATTAATTCCATCTCTATGTTTTTTATTATTGCTTTTTCTTTATTGATAATAAGGATCCAATCTTTCTCCTTTTTCACTTGGTTCCTGGCTCCTGAATCCAAACACTGAGCACATATGAGGGGGAGGATGTTCTGTTGATTTGGGATTTGGGATTTTTTTACTCATTCAATATTTGGGGCCAAAACTGGGCTTTATCTCTTGTCTTCCTGACACTGAGCCCTGTGCCAGGTCAGTGCTCTCTGATGGATATGATGTCCAAACAGATGTAAAAGAAGTGCTGCCGCCCTGATTTGATTCAACCATCTGAAAGAAGAAGACCTTTCACCGTGGTGGCCGATGACAGTGTGGGTGCTCTGGGAGCCTGTCCAGGGCAGCAGAGAGCTAGCACCCCCTGCCACGCTGGAGATGCCTGATCTGTCCTGTCTGCCAACATCCCACTGGGACCAGTGCAGAAACCTCTTATCAGCGGTGGCCAGCAGCAGTGGGCAGCAGCAGGGCAGCGTCAGGGCTTGACACATCCCTGGGGCAGCGTGATGCAATGCCCTGCAATCAGAGCAGGCAGAATGTTCCTGTGACACACCGGGCTCCGAGCCAGCTGGAGGGACAGCGGCTCTCAGAGACAGACCCGCGGGTCCTGGGGGGATGCAAGCGGCCCACAACACGTCAGCAAGCCCTTGCAGCTTGTCCCAGGTCACTGGCCTTTGGGGACATCCTGCGTCTCCCATTGGTCACATTCAACAGCCGTGCTCAGTGCGTCACCCCCGCTGTGTCCTGCTGTGACACTTCCCTGGGGCACCACGAGCCTCTCCAGCTGCTGAGCGCCGCCCCAGCCCAAAGCCACAGGTGGCTGCAGGTGTCCCTCGCTGTCACACCGACAGGGTTTGACCCCAGCCAGCCACCAAGGCCCACACAGCCACTCCCTCACTGCCCCACCAGCAGGATCAGAGAGAGAACCAAGGGCAAGAGCTAGAAAACAGGGGGGCTGAAATAAAACCACCGGGGCTGAAATAAAACCACCTTCATAGGGAAAGCAAAAGCCAGGCATGCAAACAGAGCAAAACAAGGAATTCATTGGCCACTTCCCATGGGCAGGTGGGTGTTCAGCAATCCCCAGGACTGCAGGGCTCCGTCTCAGTTAATGGTGACCTGGGAAGTCAAAGGCCATCACTCTAAAAGTCTTCTACTTCTTCCTTCTTCCTCCCACTTTCTATACTGAGCATGATGTAATATGGTCTGCAGTACCGCTCGGGCCACTTGGGATCAAGTACCCCACCAGTGACTCCTCCCAAGTTCCCAGGCACCCCAGTCCCCTCACCAGCCTGGCAGTTCAGAAAGCAGCAAAAGCCTTGGCTCTGTGTGAGCCCTGCTCAGCAACAGCAGAAACGTCTGTGCCTTATCAACATTAGGTTCAGCACAAATGCAACACACAGCCCCACACCAGCCACGGTGAAGAAAATCATCACAGCCTAAACCAGCACAGCCAGCCATGTTCTCCAGGGGACACAGATCCCACCCTTGAGCTACGGCCTGGTAAAGCACCAGAGGAACATCAGCCCTTCCGTGGTCCTCTCCTCACCGGGAACCGGTCTCCATCCATTCCTCGTGGTTCAACACCTGGCTCTGCAATCGGCATGGAGGGGGAAGAGCTCCAAAGGCAGAGTTCCATGATGCCGCAGCCAGAGGTGCCTCTGCAATGGGC